AGCTCCGTCTACACCATCCCTGACAGATGTCTATCTAACCTGTTCTTAAATATCTCCAGAGAGGGAGATTCCACCACCTCCCTTGGCAATTTATTCCAATATTTGACCACCCTGACAGTTAGGAATTTTTTCCTAATGTCCAATCTAAACCTCCCCTGCTGCACTTTAAGCCCATTACTCCTTGTCCTGTCCTCAGAAACCAAGAGAAACAAATTTTCTCCTTCCTCCTTGTGACACCCTTTTAGATATTTGAAAACCACTATCATGTCCCCCCTTAATCTTCGTTTTTCCAAACTAAACAAGCCCAGTTCATGAAGCCTGGCTTCATAGGCTTCTCTAGACCTTTAATCATTCTTGTCGCTCTTCTCTGTACCCTTTCCAATTTCTCCACATCTTTCTTGAAATGTGGCGCCCAGAACTGGACACAGTACTCCAGCTGAGGCCTAACTAGCGCAGAGTAGAGCGGCAGAATGACTTCACGAGTTTTGCTTACAACACACCTGTTAATACAACCTAGAATCATATTTGCTTTTTTGGCAACAGCATCACACTGTTGACTCATATTCAACTTGTGGTCCACTATGACCCCTAGATCCCTTTCCGCCATGCTCCTTCCTAGACAGTCGCTTCCCATCTTGTATGTATGGAACTGATTGTTCCTTCCTAAGTGGAGCACTCTGCATTTCTCCTTATTAAACCTCATCCTGTTTACCTCTGACCATTTCTCTAACTTGCTAAGGTCGGGTATGTCTAGAGGGCACCGCTTTTCCGAGAAACCAGTGGTTTCTCGGGAAAGCGATGCCGGGTCCAAAAAAACGGGTCCATTTGTTTGAAAAAAAGTTTAAATCAGCGGACGCGCTCTTTCGCCGTCACTGTACGCCTCGTTCTCCGAGGCGTAAGGGACGCGTCGGAAAAGGACTTTCCCCTGAAATGTGGCACCGTAGGGACGTGCCACCTTTCGGAAAAGCCTCTTTTGAAACGGAATCCAAAAACGATAGGCAGTTGGCCTACTGCGAATTGCGTTTTTTTTTCCGATTTGACTTTGTCGCGCCAACCTGCCCTACGAGTCCGTTTCTAGTCCTAGGTACCTAAGAAGAAATTGATCGACTCCTTGTCAGTGTCCGGGCCAGATCCAAAAGTCCTGATCCCCTCCCAGGCCTCGTTATTTCCCATTTCTGACAGTGACCCGTGAACGTGGGGGTGCCGGCCGGGGTATGTGTGGGGCCCACGTCCTGTAGGGAAGTTTCCTTTCCGGTGGGGTTTCCCCCAGACCTGGGAACGCCGGGGTGTGTGAACCAGAACCAGCATCTCCTAGCTGCAGAGTAGACGCCCCCACAGGCATAGGCAAAGATAGTTACTGTTCTCGGCCACACCCCCGTCCCGCAAGGCCCCGCCCTCACCCCGCCTCCTCCTGTCCCAGCCCCACAAGGCCCTGCCCTCGCTCCGCCTCCTCCCGTCCTGGCTCCACCCTCCTCCCACATGGTCCTGCCCTCACTCCACGTTCTCCCATCTCAGCTCCACCTTCCTCCCCTAAGGCCCCGCCTCCTCCCGTCCTGGCTCCACCCTCCTCCCCTAAGGCCCTGCCTCCTCCCGTCCTGGCTCCACCCTCCTCCCCCAAGTCCCCGCCCTGACCCTGCCTCTCGAGCTCCCACGGAACCGGCACCGATGCCCTCCGGCCCCTTCTCGCTACTCCCGTGGGGCAAAGGGGTCTTGACGTGGTGTTGAAGACCCCTCTGAGATCCGTCGTTGGATCCTAGAACCCTAGGGCTGGAAGAGACTTCAGCAACTCCACCCTGCCCACTGGGACCCACTGCCCAGACCCGCCCCACAAGACCCAAGAAGACGGGCTCCCGAGAACCTGTCAGCCACCCACGTGGCCTAGCTGGGACTGAGTCACCCACGCGACCGGCTTGTTCCTTTCTAGCCACAGAGGCTGGAGAGGAAACCACCACGACCGCAAAACTCTGGGCTGGCTGGCTTTACTCCAGGGGCCTCCCGCCGGACGGGGGCCTGTCGCCACAATGTGTATTTTAGTGTGGGTTATAAAACCGTCAGTGGGGTGCACAGAGCTGTGATCTGCGTGCGAGTTCTGTCGGCTGCTCCTTCCCCCCGTCTCTCGTGATGAGACGACGTCTGCCTTGCAACAAAGCGGTGCCTTTTAGTAGCTCGGTCTTCCTTTGCCCCCCCGATGTTTGGGGGACGTGACGGACGTGGGAGAAAGTCATCAGGACAGCCCAGATGCTCACAAAGACTTGAGACACTCGGGGTGCGTCGACACGGCACCGCGGTTCGGGATAAGTCACGCAATGTGAGCTACGGAAACGGCGTCTCTTATTTCGATCTGATTTCCTACTCAGGGCCAAATCTCTTCCGAAATGTCCCTTAATCCTCGTGCAATGAGGTGGACAGGGACGTCGGAACAGCCTGCCCGTCCGATTTCCAGATAACGGGCTGGCTGGGAAGAGGCGGGATGAATATTAAAGTGGCAAAACCCGCCGATACTGTGCAATGACTCCAAAGAGTTCAGTCCCGAGCTGATGGCAAAGCCTTACAAAGGATCTCACAAAACCGGGGGACTGGGGAAGAAAGGGACAGGTGGAATTCGGTGGTGAGAAATGCAAAGTAACGCACCTGGGAAAACACAATCCCAGCTACACACACAAACACGATGGCTCTGGAATAGCGGTTACCACTCAAGAAAGAGACCTTGAACTGCTTGTGCAGATCTCGTCACCCCCTCTAGACAAAAATCTCTTGGATTTGGAGAAGGAAAGGTCTGAAACTATTTGGAGTCATGTCGACTCATGTTACCACCTCATTATTTATCCCACGTTTTCCCAACCAGGCTGTTATTTGGAAAGCGGACGGGCGGGCTGTTCCGACGTCCCTGTCCCCCTCATTGCACGAGGGTTAAGGGACGTTT